TTACTAAAACTGGAGAGTGAAAATCTGATGCTGCTCTGCATAGAAACTAATCAGCTTCCAGGTTTTATAGTTGTTAGTTGAACAAGCTGTAGTTAGAAGCTAATGGACTACTGTGCACAGCTGCACCAGATTCTGAGTGCTGCAGTTTTAGCAAATCTCCCCTATGGGATAAACATTTGTCCAAAAGAGGAAATAATTTGAGGGAGACATTTGTACTGTGTGCATTCCTGTGCTCAGCAACTTCAGTGTGAAATACTATACAGAATTGATACAATGCTCCATTTGTTTGGCAAGTCTATCTTGAACAACAAATCACCGAAGGTAAACATTGGAGTTCCATCTCTGCAATATTGTATCAATTCTGTATAACTGTTCACTCTTTAGAGTAGCGGATCCATTACACTGTTGTTGTTGTTGTTGTTGTTAGGAAAGCAATTTCCACACACTTTGTACTTTTGTCCTCTTCTGGTTAAATGTTTTTAGCCTATGGTGTTAGGCTGTTGTCTGTATTGGTGGAATGTTCTTTAACACTTCTGGTCGAAAGTTCTTAAAGTGAAAGTTTATGGTCACAACAAAAATGAGTCAACAGACTTGATTTTTAATGCAGAAGAGCCCTGCTTTGTTTCTTCCACATTAAAATGACCCTTCTGCCTGTTTGCCCTGTACAGTGAGCTGGGCACGCTGTCTCCCCTTCATTCACCTGAGGGTATACTTCCAGCCACAGCCAAAGCATGTATACTTCCCTGTATCAAACTTTTGAGGCTCCTGGTGTTTGCCTTTCATGCTAGTCGCTTTTTGGGTTTTTTATCCAGCGCTCGTATCTTTTCTGTTTTTATATGTATACTTCCCTCACTGTTCTCACTGCAGCTAAAGGGGGGAGCAGTTGGGGATGGTAGAAACGAAGCTCAACCACTTGGTTGTACTGTCCCCCAACCTCACATGTCAACAAAACCTTGGTTCACATCTTTGCAGCTGGTTGTAGGGCAGACTATTCATTTAAGTCGGTTTTCACGCCCGCAGAAACAAAGGGAAAGATGTCCCTAACCCTGTTGTGTATTTGTTTGTTTTTTTTTTTAGTTGTGCCACTCTGAAAACCCACTGCATTTTGCCAATATGTGGGGGTATCAATACAAATTAATGACACCCTGTGCATCTGCTAAAGAAGTGAGTTGGAAACACTTGCGATTTTTGTTTGCATTCCTCGTTGCACAGTAATCTGAACCAAGTCTTAGGCTGGGCTGCCTCTAGACTGAAAATACCCTGAATGGAAAAGGGTTGCGAAACACTGCTTTTAGAGACTGCAGACTTCATAGAGGGGATGGACAGAGATTGTGGGTATTGATGGAGACTGAAAACCTGCTGCAGGAGACTGTCAGAGACTGTGAACATGCTAGAGAACACTGCCAGTATTGCTCCTTTGCAAATCAGTGCTTCAATTCCCATTATTAGGGTCTGAAGGTTCCACACAGCAACTACCAAAGGGCCACGTGTGGCATCAGGTTCAGTATCAAGGAATAGAGACCAGGTTGGGCTTTTATTGCCACCTGTGTCACTCAGAGTTTTTTCTTCTTTTGTTTTAATAGTAATGTGGTAAAGAATTAGAACAATGTTTGTTTTTATTTCTATTTGTAACAAACATTCTCTCTATTGTATGAGTGTCACAGGCAGATCGCCCCAGTAAGGTCACTAACAGAGATAAAAACTTGACAGAATTTTCTTAACAGTTCTTTGTCTATCAGAAACAAAATTTGGATGGTCTTTAAAGTGCGTTTATAGTGGATTGTATATTTTATTTTTGAAACCTACTGATTTTGTTTTCATATCTTGTGACAAGGAATTCTCAAGGGTTTTTCTCATCACAATAGAAGTGGTTACCTTTATTACAGATGTTCTGTTATTGAGTCACTCAATTGTGTGTTTACAAAGCTCAATAGCACAAGCTGAAATTAAACAAGCAAAGCTCTTTATCCCTGCTGACTGAAAAGCTCCAATTCTGCAGAGAGACCATTAATGTAAATCAGAATCACAGTTTTCTTTCTCTTTGAGTAGGTAGTTTGGACCAACATGGCCCAAACAAACTATTTCCATTACACATTATTGCAGCCACTATGTGTGCTGCAATGTACTTTAGTACATACAGTATGGGGTGAAGTGTTCTGCAGCAGTACAGGTGAGTTCCGTCTGCTGCTGGGACTAAATGCAGGTGGCCTGAGTGCAACCCCGCCATTCAGGAGAAACCTTGTAATTTTTGTTAATGAGTACAAGGCTTTCTCTGGCCAAAGAGGAGAGGTAAACTGATGACTACACTATTTCCACTTGCGCCAATTAGAGGAAGCCTTGTATTAATTGATAAAAAGTTAAGGCATCTCCCAAAATGGCCTCTGATTAGTTCATTAACAGACAGGAAGTCACTCAAACAGAACAGCTCTGCTTACTCTATGTAGCTAATACTACTACAGTGCATTTTAGTGCACACAGCAGGTGCTTCAGTATGTAATGAAAATAGTTTGTTTTGGTCAGCTTGGCTGTCTCACCAGTAGACCCGGGCCAATCTTGGCAGGTGTTTCTGGGTGGGACAGAGGGCGCATGTATTATGTCAGTTCCTGGTTCAGAGCCATCTATAAACTCAGTTGCCCTACGCATTATTTATTGCTGCACATGCTGGAGTGAGAGCAATTTATTCTAGGGCCATCATTCACGGGTATGTCGAAACTGATGACCTATTTGAGTTTTTAAAATGCTGCAGATGGACAGGTTTGGGTATCACTGATGTGCGCACTTTTAAAGCTTGACATGTTGGGTGTCTATTTCCTCGGCACAACCTCCATCTTTTGTTTTTCATGAAACAGTTGGGTAATCTATTAAATTTGTGTGCACTAAAATTAACTTAAATTTTATATGGGCTTGATAAACCATCCCGCTAATTTCATGTGACAAAAAACTGCAACTGCCAGCATTTTGATTTGTAGGGTCTCTGCTTTAAGAAAATATATGTTTGGGGAGTTTAACTAATCTTCCGGCCTAAAATGTGCATTTTAAGGTTTGTAAAATATGGCTCCAGGACTAAAATCTCTGAGCAAGTGCCTGCCTTTTAAGTGACGCTAAACAATATCCTTATTTTCCAAAAATAATTCATACACATCCACTACTTGGTGTAACTAAAGTCCTGAATTCTTGCCTCTCCAACTGTCCATCCTTCGCCGCTAAAAGCTAGCCTAGCCTCTTCAGGGTGCTGGGCAGCTACAGTCTTCATTGGCCAGCGCGGGATGACTTTACACATGTGCGTGAGTTCAGTCATCCCGACACACAGAATCTACGCGAGAATGTAAATTGAACTGTACTTGCACAGCTCACTGAGCAATATAAACAAGACTACAAGCAGGCAGTTTGGATTATTTTATTGCAGAAAAGACCTTGCATGTCTCTTCTGCAATGAGCCTACCTGCTAACCGTTTTTGGAAATTGAGACTTTAGTTTCCATTTAATGGCCTTGTAATCTGTTTTTTTTAAAAATTGGTTCTTTCTATATTTTTCGGCCACATTGTAATGTCCGCACTTCTGTTTGTTTGGAATGAGCAATACTCGTTGGTTTCAGTCATGTGCACTGCTCTGGGCACACTACAAATCCTATACTTCATGGTCCCTAGTCCATCTTAGGAGCAAGCAAGAGAAGGGGGCCAAGTTCTACATACATTGGGGACCACAACTGTAGCCAACCTCCAAGAGGAAGTCAGATCACAACTGCAAGATAAAGCAATTTGGAGGAAGCTAGGAGCAATAGAAGGTACTTAGCTGAGCTGAAATACATACTTAGAATGTTTTATTTTTTTTGTAACTATAGTTTAGTGTCGCTATGAAAAAGTATGGCCCAAACTTGGTCCTTAACCACTAGCCTACAGGGCACTTATACCCCCTTCCTGTCCAGGCCATTTTCCAGCTTTCAGCGCTGTCACATTTTGAATAACAATTGCGCGGTCATGCAACACTGTACCCATATGAAATTTTTATCATTTTTTTTTGAGACAGAGCTTTCTTTTGGTGGTATTTAATCACCTCTGGGATTTTTATTTTTTCGTAAACAAACCAAAAACCACTGAAAATTTTGAAAGTTTTTGTTATACAATTTTGTAAATAAGTAATTTTTCTCCACTGATGTGCGCTAATGAGGCTGCAGTGATGGGCATTGATAGGCTGTACGCATGGACACCGATAGGTGGCACTGATGAGGAGACACTGGTAGGTTGCACTGTTGGGCATTGACAGGCATCACTGATGGGCACTGAAAGGCAGCACTGATACATGGCACTGACGCGCACTGATAGGCGGCACTGACGCGCACTACTGGGTGACATTGAAAGGCAGCTCAGATGAGCACTGATATGTGGCACTGATGGGCACAGGCATGTGGCACTGATGAGCACTGACTGCTGGCACTGATGGACACTGACAGGTGGCACTTCTGGGGCCACACTGATCATCAGTGCCCTGATGATCTGTGTACATGTCCCCTCCGCGGAAAGCCGATTACCGGCTCGCCTCACCTCTCGAGCTGTCAGCGTGACAGCTCGAGACGAGAGAAATGCCGATAACCGGCATTTCCGTGTTTACATGTGATCAACTGTGATTGGACACAGCTGATCACATGATGGAGCCGACATCTTCGGCTCTTTCCGTGATCTGCTGTGTCCGAGGGACACCACGCACCTGCGATCGCCGCGCTGCGCACTCCCTGAGCCGTGCATGCGCGGTGAGAATGGAAGGACACCATATGACGTCCTATCAGAACGAGAGAACCACCTTGCACCCATCATTGTACTATATGGTGAGCGGAAGGTGGTTAAACAGCCCTGTTAAAAAATAAAATTACACCATATTGCCAAAAGTATTGGGACACCCCTCCAAATCATTGGATTCAGGTGTTCCAATCACCTCCTTGGCTATAGGTGTATAAAATCAAGCAACTAGGCATGCAGACTGCTTCTACAAGCATTTGTGAAAGAATGGGTCGCTCTCAGGAGCTCAATGAATTCAAGCGTGATACTATGGTAGGTTGTCACCTGTGCAAGAAGTCCATCTGGGAAATTTCCTTGCTACTAAATATTCCACGGTCAACTGTTAGTGGTATAACAAAGTGCAAGCAACTGGGAACAACAGAAACTCCGTCACAAAGAGGTAGGCCACATAAAATGACAGAGCAGGGTCAGCGCATGCTGAAGCGCAGAGTGTGCAGAAGTCGGCAACTGTCTGGAAAGTCAATGGCTAAAGACTTCCAGATTAGCACAACAGTGCGTAGAAAGTTTCATGGAACGGGTTTCCATGACCAAGCTGCTGCATCCAAGCCTTACATCACCAAGTTCAATGCAAACGGAATGCAGTGGTGTAAAGCATGCCGTCACTGGACTCTAGAGTGGAGAATCACGCTTCTGTCTGGCAATCTGATGGGCGTGTCTGGATTTGGCGGTTGCCAGGAGAACAGTAGTTTCCTGACTGCATTGTGCCAAGGTTAGCTTGATGGAGGGAGGGATTATGGTCTGAGGTTGTCTTTCAGGGGTTGGGCTTGGCCCCTTAGTTCCAGTGAAGGGAACTCTTAAGGCTTCAGCATACCAAGACATTGTGGACAATTTCATGCTCCTAACTTTGTGGGAACAGTTTGGGGATGGCCCCTTCCTATTCCAACATGACTGCACACAAGTACACAAAACCAGGTCCATAAAGACATGGATGAGCGAGTTTGGAGAACCTTGACTAGCCTGCACATAGTCCTGACCGCAACCTGATAGAACACCTTTGGGATGAATTAGAGCAGAGACTGAGCCAGGCTTTCTCGTCTGACATCAGTGCCTGACCTCACAAATGCGCTTCTGGAAGAATGGTCAAACATTCCCATAGACACACTCCTAAACCTTGTGGACAGCCTTCCCAGAAGAGTTGAAGCTGTTATAGCTGTAAAGGGTGGGCCAACTCAATATTGAACCCTACGGACTACTTGGATGCCATTAAAGTTCATGTGCGTGTAAAGGCAGTCGTCCCAATACTTTTTCCAATATAGTGTGTATGTGTGTTTCTATGCGCGTGTGTGTGTATGTATGTGTATGTATGTGTGTGTGTGTGTGTGTGTGTGTGTGTATATATATATATATATATATATATATATATATATATATATATATATATAATATATATATATATATTGCAGGTTACACGGTCTGATGTGCCGGGAAGCTAAAGAATCGCACAGAACTCACACTTGTTCTTAGTGTGCTTGCTGTGAGTTACTTAAGAGCTGTCTCCTCCATGTGTTCTGCTATTGTGGTACGAAGTCTCAGCTACCCTATGTACAGTATGTGGTTGACATAGCAAGCAGGAACTTGTATTTCCAGATAAGTTGGGAAACTACAGGTTGTGGCAGGCCTATCATAAGAAAGCTGTGACCAGCCTGGACAATTCAAACCAAGCTTATGATGAAAGGATCTAAATAGCAAGGTTACCTTCAGTAAAAAATCTTATGTTGTAACAAACCAGAGATACAGGCAGCTGAAATTGCAGTTTGCAAATATCAAGTTCTGTAAATGTAAAGCTTTGCTCTGCCCTTGCATGAGCCTTCTTATTGATTAGTGAGGCTGCCTCTCACATAAAAAAAACAAATAAAACTCTGTGCAAGCTGCCATTGCTGGCTCTTCTTTTGAAAATGCCTGGCAATTAGATTGGTAAAATTCCCTTAGGATGTTAAGCCCCTAATCTGAAACATGTATGTAGATGAGGAATTCTGTCTTTCCTCTGGCTTTTTTAGTTTCATGCTTGTTTCAAGGCAGTTATTCAGGAAGTATTTTAGAGCTAACCAAGTGAATAATGTATGTGGGAGGTCCGTCATAATCACCTGCCTATTTCAGTGCAGGTTTTCTGTAGGGGAGCAGTAGGGAAAGAGGGACTTTATATTGACCTTCATCTATTTATACTTTTGGATCTTTCCAATATTTTGACCTTGCATTTTTTTCTTGCCATGTGCTTGGCATGCTTGGTTCAAATTTCCTAAGTTTCCTTAAATCCCAACTGAACTCTCAGCCAGTCAGCTAAGTACAGTTCAGGTGCATTAAAACAAAAGGTGTTCAATTTCTTAGTTAATTTTCTTTCTAAAGCAGCTGCGGCCCACATAGAAAAGCCTGTCCCTTGTGAGACCCTTGCTCTTTTGCGAAAGCATTGTCTGCAGAGGTCCAACGTGTTCCCTAAAAGCTCTGCAATCAACAATGCTCATGTTCCCTGCTGATTGGAGAGCTCTATCTCTGACTCAGCCAAGGTTGTGTTGGACCTCTATAGAGAGACCACTGTTCCCACACAGAGATGCTTCTTTTTTACAGTATGGTGTCAAGGCTTTACTACTTCAGATGTGGCAGATTTCTAAAGGAAAGCACTAAGACGTTGAACACTTTTTTTTTTTTTTTTTTTTTGCTGTTTTTGGAATGGCCGAGGCCAGTAAACAGACGTAGCAGTTAGTTGTGGGAAAACGGGCATCTGTAAATCATACAAATATTGTAAGGCTAGGTTCACACTACTGTAATGCAATTTTGATCCGACTTTCCATGTTACTTGAATGAGGTCTGTATATTTTATGGGGCCAAAATTGTGCTGGAATTGCAATAAAGTACAGAAACCATTTCCAGAACTGCTCTGTATGGAGTCACATTGATGTGAAGGGACACAGTTGAAAATGTGATTTCCATTGCCATGTGATTCTTTGCAACTCAAGTTGCATCTGAAATTGCACTAGTGTGAACCAGAGCTCAATAGGAAAACGACCTGGCACATTTTCCAGGATGACACTTCATTATTATATTGTATAAGTATTTAGTCATGTGAGTCAGGTCACATGACTGAATTATTTTGCAGGCCAACCTGGTAAAAGTCTTATGAATGTACAAACTGCCTCCGTAATACAGTATTATATTCCAATGGAGACTTAATTGGAATGACAGCTGTGTTTCTGCTGGATTGCTGACTCCAGATCCAAGATGGTTGCGCCCAGCAGTGGACAAAGCACTATTTTAGAAGAAAGATTAACCGACTTTTTTCTAGGAAGACGTAAATGGGCAGATCAGCGTAAAGTAAGAAAAAAGAAAAAAAAACATTCGAAGTGAAATGATAAAACAGAGCATTGACCAGCAGGACAATTTTGGATACAAAAGTTCCACTTGAAACTCGATCTACCTTAACTTGTCTGGATATATATGTCAGTTGTACATTTTGAAAACACTTGCTGCATAAACAGATGGATAGTTGCTGCATGCGTTTTGTAACATAAATATCTGTGACACACCACTCTGGAGGTCAGAGATATCATCTTGGCTTCAGCTGGCCCCAGGGCTCCTCAGTTATCTCTAACTCTTCAATAAAAGCCATATTGCCAGGGTTATGATTATCATCTTTATCTTCCTATGGATTAATTTGTGTAGATATACAAAAATCTTTGTACAGGGATTTGTGTCTGGGAAAAAAAAATTGCTAGCTGTCTGGCTGGCATTAATGGTGTGCTTCTGTGAGGTCTGTTGAGAAGAGCAGGAAAAGTAGCTCCTTTAGGCTACTTTCACACTGATCCATCGCAAAAACGCATAGGCGGTTTTACTGTGCTTTTGCCACGCTTTCTGAGCATTTTTAAAGGACACGTGACTTAAAATATAATTGAACCAAAAATGCTTCTCAGAGGCGTTTTCTATTTATTTCAATGGGAAGTGGCGTTTTTGGGGCTTTTTTTTTTTTTTAACTCGCCTAACATTCCCCCTAAGATGCTGCAAGCAGGAGTTTTTACACCGCAAACGCAATGCCTCAGTGTGAAAACATACATAGATATATAGTCACATACATAGGGAAGCATTTTTCTTGCGCTTTTCAGGTGCTTTTTTTTAACACAAAAAGCTTTGAAAACTCCTCAGCCTAAAGGTGTGGCAGGAGCAGTCATAAGATTGAACACTAGTTTTATCAGACACGGAGGCTTTCAGTAACTAAATGTTCGTTTTATACAAAAAAAAATTGTTCAATATTAGTGCAATATTTGTGGCTTGGGATACTTCGGAATTTTATCACATTATTTTAAGTTCAAACATATGTAAAGTATCCTGTGTAGTTTTGTGAACGGACACTTTGGTCTTTTATAGCATTGCGATGTTGGAACTGACCACAACAGTATTATGCTTTTTTGTAAGGTTGTCTTTTGAGTGTACAACCTTGCAGCCTGCTGTTTTTAAGCTTCATATAGCTATAATCATAAAGCTGCCTAATGTGTGGGTGATTAGCCTTTGGTTTTTTTGCTTATTTTAAATATTTTGGACAATATTCATTTGTGGGTTGCTGTGTCATTAGCCGTCAAAAGGCCTGTTTGTTCAGATTACAAAATGTTTTTGCCTAGACTTGCCCTCAGTGGCAAGTGACTGTAGTAGCTAGATATGCTAGTTGCCATCTGCCATTCCAGGTGTGTACTGTGATATGCAGGGTACGGGGAACTATCCTGGAAATTCCTTTAGTATGTGTAAATGCACAGCTTGGATTGTGGAGCAGTATAAATCAGATCTGTAGCCTCACCATTTATAACTGTATTTATTGCTAAATCTACCTTGGTGCATTGAAAAAGTGGCTTAGCAAATATGTCTGTTGGTGGGCTGGTGCAGGACCTTAGAATCTCCATGACCTCTGCCTTGATCTGTTCCAGCTGTTTTGCAGGAACAGGACCTTAGAATCTCTATCACCTCTGCCTATTTCTAGCTGCCTGGCTTTAGAAGTCATGAGCTTTTCTCTTTTTCCCCCTGTAAATCCAGACACTTGGCTCTCTGCAAAGGGGCATTGCAAGGTACTGCATAAATTGTAAGTTTCTCCTATTCCCATCCTGCATCCTCCCTTCCATATTTTTAGTGTGTGCGAGATCTCGCTTCCCTCTGCTTTAGTGGAAGGTAGAAAAGGTATGAGAAGTTTGTGCCAGTTTAGGAACTTGGCACCAATTTTAGAAGTAAGTTAGTACTGTGTTTCCCCGAAAATAAGACACTGTCTTATATATTTTTTTCTTTTTTTTTTTTTTTTTTGGCTCAAAAAAACACACTAGGTCTTATTTTCAGGGTAGGTCTTATTTTTTAAATGTACAGGTATTGACGGGATGCAGAGGTGAGCTGCAGGCAGTTGTGGATGAGGGTTACAATGGAGAGGGCCGGTTGATGACAGTTGTGAGCTGCAGTCAGGTGTTGCAGGGGTGACTTGACAGGTGAGTTTCAGACAGGGTGCAGATATGAGCCAAAGACTGGGTGCAGGGGTGAGTTGCAGACCCCGGGGAATGCAGAGCTAAGCTGTGGCCAGGGGGTGCAGAGCTGAGCTGTTGCTGGGGGGGTGCAAAGGTGGGTTGCAACTCAGCTCACCTCTGCACCCCCCCCCCCAGCGGCAGCTCACCTATTCACCCTGTCTGCAACTCACCTGACTCAATTTACCTCTGCAACACCTGACTGCAGCTCCCCTTTGCACATCCCTCCCCTTCCACTGCCCTCGTATGGTTAGCTAGCTTTGCAAAACACAGCTGTCAGCAGCCGGCCCCCTCTCTATAGTAACTCCCGTTTCGGGTCCTATCTTCCCACACAGTGCACCAAGCGCACTTACTCACTGCTCCGCCTCTTCCCTACTGGCTGGTGATCACCCCT